GGCAAGAAGGACGTTTGCTCTGCAAAGCAAAAAGCAAATGCATTATCAGAGGACTTGCTGTTTTACCAGTGCTGATGGGTTTGTACTCGCCTCTAGCCATGGCCTTGCCGGATCAGCTAGACTGGGGTTCTTTCGGTCACAGTCCTTGATAATTTGTTAAAAAGCACAGATCCTCTCCCCAACCCATAACAAAGCCCATATACACCGCTCTTAAAAATCGTGAATCCTCTCCCTCACCTCTAACAAATCCCTAACAAGCAACTATGTTGTGTCCAAGTGGACACAAAATGTCAGAAAGTTCATGGATTCCCCCTCAAACCCATCCAGAGCCCTGGGAGTCTGAATTCCAGGAATAAAAAGGTTCCTCGGGAACACAGTGAACTTGGCCCTAGAACTCCGTTGCCTGAGCAGCTGATGGTCAGTAAGCACCTGTCCTCCTGAGCAGTACTTCTGAAGGGCACCCAGCTCCACGCTCACATCCAAATGCAACATGTACTTTCCGTATTTATGTTTTCACTGGTTCATTCAGCACGTTTATTAAGTGCCTAGTAAGTACCAGGCCAAGGACGAGCATCGGGAGACTCCCAGGAGGGAGGTCTGGGGCTGAGGTCACACCTGGCCATTTTGTTGGCCGAGGGCCAAGGTGATTCTAATGATGCCTCCATGGAGAACACTGACGTTCCAGGGTGGACCCAGGGACTTGATGGGATGCCCACGCTGAAAGCAAACCGACACGCAGACAACATATGTGGGGTTAGATCAGGTGAGGTGGAGTCAGCTGCTGCTCACATTGGATGCCTTCTGATTGGCAGGTCAGTGCCTGAAATACTCCAGCATCCTCTTTCCCCCCTCTAAGTATCTAATTCTGGAGAACCAAAATGGAATAACACATAATCTCTGACCACGAGGGGAATCAACCTTCCAGGGAGTTGTGAGTAGGCTGCAATGCCAGCCAGCCTTAACTACAGTCCTTCAACAGAGGGGCAAGCAATCGAAGGAACCAACAAGTAAATCAGATTTCGGGGGACGCAAGAACCTAGGACGCTCCACGGAAAAGTTCAAAATTTGACTGAGACGCTGAAAGATAAGCAGAAGTGCCATAGGAGAACGAGGGGAGGCAGTCAGGAGGAAAGAAGCGGATAAGCAGAAGCAGGTGTGAAAACCAGAAGGTTCATGGAGAAAAGAAAACTCCACACACATGGCTCATTCAGTTCCAGGAGAGAATCATGGGAGATGCAGTAACAAGTATCAGCTGGGATGGTACCAGGTATGGCCTTGAATACTGATAGCAAACAGGGCCCCTCAATTCTCCCTCTCTCCACCCTGTGAACTGTCTCAGGGGAGAGTGATTCACTGAGCCCTGCTCTCCAGGTGGGGGGTCTTGAGGTATTTTCAGCTCTCCATCCGTCAACACCCCAGCGGGCTGATGAGTCCAGACTGTTCTCCTTTACTATGTGCCCGACAACCCTGCACACACTGCACTGAGGCAGACATTTGGTCCTCATTTCATTCTTTTCTATAATTAGCTGCTGACAGGACTGCTCACTTCTAGTAGAGGAGAGAGAGGATCTTTTATATTTTGTTCTCTTCTAATACCTTATACATACTAAATGTTTTTTTCAAAAGCTTGTTGGTGTGTTACTCTCGTGACCAGGAGTTTGGAGTTGATTCACTAAGCAATCGTGAGCCGTATAAAGTTACTGGGGTACAATGAAAATACCGGGACATACATCCCTGTGCATTTGGGAGTATTACTGACTGAGAAACTTCCCTAAACAGGCTTGACATGCAGTGTGTGAATTTTGATAGATATTCCCAAATTGTCTACATGAGAGGTTGCAAAATTGTATGTCCCCATCAACAGTCTGTGCACACAAATTTCACCACATCACCCCTTAACACTGGATTTGCACCAACTTAAACTTTCTGAAGTGTTTGTTTTATTTCATTTCTTAATCCTTGGTAAGGTTAGGGAAGCTATCTTTTCATCTGCTTATGCCATTCGGATTTTTTTTTCCTATGAATCAGCTCCTTTTATTCTTCACCCATTTTTTCTAATGGAGTGTTGTCTACTTCTTATCAATCTGTATCAAGTGTGTTATAATTACAGCCACCAGCCAGTTGACTGCTATAAATGTTGAAAATAATTTCCCCAAGTCTTCTGTTTGTATTTAGACTTTTCTTTGTGGCATTTTCTATCATTCAGAAGTTTAAATTCTTATATAACCAAATCTGTCAATCTTTTTTAAATGACTTCTGGGTTTTATGTCAAGATATATTACAAAAGCGTCTCCCTTATTTTTCTTATAGTGTTGCTATAGTTTAATTTTTGTGTTTAGTTCATGAACCTATTTGGCATTTATTTTTGTATGATGTGGAGGGGGTCTCATATGGCATATTAGTCTTGTAATAAAATGCTGGGTTTGCTAGCATTTATTAAATTTTATCCATGTATAGTCATAAGTGCACTTGCACTATAAATTTCTACCTTGTAAAATTTTGGAAGCACATGCATCTAGTTGTTCATAGTAGTTACCTCTGAAAAGTGAATTTGGGAAGCAAAGACATTTTATTGTGAATACTTCTGTGCTTAAAGTGTCCTTTCAGAGAACAATACTGCATTTATAATTTGATAAAATAAAAATCTGGATAGCTATTGAGGAAAAGTGTAATTACCAGTCCCAGATTTTAGGAAGATGTCTCAGATAGAATGAAACGGCTGAGCAGGAGGTAAGACACGAGAAGGGCTGGGGCTACAACATAGCTGGGGACAAGAGGAAGGAAGGCTAGTTTGAGAAGGCTGAGGACGGGGACGACAAAGAACTGAGGCCAGAAGGATGCTTTAGTGACGTCATTGCCGTAACTTCCGGCAAAAGATGACATTGTCAGCATTTTCCAATCATTAATGATCTGGTATATCTTTCTTAAGAGGTAAAGAGAGAACTTGAGAATATCATGAACCCACAGCATGTTCACTTACAGCAGTTACAACATTCCTTCTGTTTTTTCTCCTCTCCTTCAAAAAACCATACAAGTGTGCTCCTCAAGAAACACCCATATCATTTATTACTAAGCTTTTTTCCAACTATGATAACGTATCTTGCCTTCCAGTTTTGACCTACAGTCAAATGTGTTTCCAATACTACACTGTTCCTAAGGTCTTGGTTTCCCTTTGGGCAACGGTTTTATTTCCTTAGCATGTCTGTCCCAGGGGACTGTGGTCCTCCAGGGAGGGGACCGGTCTGGTTCACCAGCAGCCCTGCACCAGGAGGAAGCTGGGTCTCCTGCAGACTCAGGTACAGGCTGGGAGAGCCCCAGGGTACAGTGTGTTTTAGCCAAAGAGGAGCTCCCTGCACAGACACCATCTAAGGCCCACCTTGGGGAATCTGGAATACCTTCCTTCCTACTTATAGAAAACATGGAGAAAATAAGAGAAAGATTCAACAGTCAGAAACTTATACTTAATCACTTAAGCCTGATTCACACATTTGGCATTTTCCCTTTGGTGCCTAGAAAAAACAACCGACCTGCTCTTCTTACCTATATCTTGAGTTTTAAAATGTTGATTTACAAGACATTCACACATCCCCTTTGTAGTAGCATTTAGATCAGTGTTCAGCTAGGAGGGACATTCTGGCTGCTGAAATCAGAGAGATTGAAGCGTTCTGCTTTTCCTATTGTTTTCACATTAAAGTTACTTATTACACGAATATTATTCTCCATGGGATCAGAAAGAAAGGATCTCACCTTTATTTTCTGTCCGTCTAGATATCAACATGTGGCTTTCAGGAGAGGTGGACTAATTTTTTGGTACTTAATGTTGATTTCAAAGACTGTATCTTTTCTAGTAAAATATTCTGTTATCCTGAGGTAGGAATCCACAAAACAGAACTAAAAAATGGTCATGGGGCCAAAAATATTAACTAAAAGATTCTGATCACTGACAAAAAAATGAACTTGTTTGATTTGATTATAAAAAACAACTCTACAAAAGAGAGCCATGAATTTTCATGATTCTTTTACAACGAAGCAGCCAAGGAAAGCATCATAGCTTAATGTGAAAATCAACTTTTTTTCTTTTCTCTTACTTTGTTTAGCTTTTGATGAAAATTTTTTTTTTTTTTTTTTTTTGCATTTCAATACCAATTTTCAAAAGGTACAAGGAAACATAGCTGTGAGGCTAGTTGGGTCAGGGAAAGGGTTCACCAATGGTGACTGTGACAGCGAATCTACTCCAGCTTTGTCAGTAGCTCTGAAAGGTATTCAGGTAGAGGTCCCATAGGAAGAATGGCTGCGGATTTTAGAAACCTAACAACATATAATTTTGTTGAATTTGCATTCACATAAATGCTAGCTTGAAAAAAAATGCACCTGCTTGTTTCTATGACAATAGGCAGAGTGAAATCACGCTCATACAGATGTGATGATGACTGCCACCCCGCTATTGCTGTTATTATTTTCCCTGAACAAGTCATTGAATTCTTCTCTGCTATCTATCAGTAGACAAAACTAAGTCACAGAAGTCTAAAGGCTGTTTTGCTAATGCTAAGAAACCAGAAGACATTATTCTGTTGTTATTCCCAAGACAACGTCTATCAACTCCACTAATTGGATCATCAGCGTTCTTCTATAATTCAGGAGTAAAATATTTTAGAGCTGGCGAGAACAGGATGCCACGGTTGCCTCCTAAATAATGTATATGACAGAACACTTACTGTTTTTAACAAAGGTGATTTTCAAACTATATTATGGTGTCGCTTTACATCCAATAACATGTAATCTGGAAGCATCTAAATCATTGTGAATATACATCCTGAAATTATACATAATTCGAAAACTCATTTTTAATTTTTTTGCTTCTATTCGGTAACCATTACAACTATTAAAGGCATTCAACTTCTTAAAAGGCATGTTGTTACTAAGCATTTTTAAATACTAGATAGTCTAGCTATCGTAGAAGTTACAGTAAAAATTAAATTACTAACAAATGTATACACTACCTCATATAAAGTGATGACACCATAGGTTTGAATTGGTTCTCGCCATTGAAGAAATATCTTCTCTTCAAAGGTACTTCCTTGGATGGATTCAGTAAGAACAGCACCTGGAACTAGAAGGGGGGAAAAATCGATACATATTTAAGTAAACCAAAAACAAAATACATTTTTCTAGACTTGACAGGTTTTTAACTCTCTATTGAGGTGTAAGATTTTAATAGATATATTCCATTTTCTTGCAAAAACCTGCAATTTAAAACCATTTCGGCTACACTGTCTTTATAAAGAAAAGAATTTCATCACATCTTCCTCTAAAAAGTTTGAATCAATTAGACAAAGCTCAGTATCATCTTGTAAATAAACTTTTTTATTCTTCAGAAATAAAGAAGGATGTGGAGCAATGCGAATTCCCACACATTGCTTGTGAGACCATAAATTGGTACAGCCACTTTGGAAAATAATTTGCCTGTATTCACTGAAGTTAAAGAGGCACATGTCATATGACCCAATAATCCCACCTCAGGTATATTCCCTAGTAATATTCTTGCACATATGTACTAGGAGACATAGACTAGGATGTAAGCATAGTAGCACTTTAAAATAAAACTAATAAATTGGAGACAAAAAATAGTTTAAGAAATTAGTTTATATTCACTCAATAAAATACAAAAACGACTGAAAATCGAAGACAGCTTTATACATCATCATGGATGATTTCTATAACCATAACACTGAGTGATAAAAGCATGTCAAAAAAGAATATATATGAACTCCTGGACTTATACTTAATATGTCTATGAAAAGTATACACAAAATAGAAGTTCTACAAAGATGTGATGTAGATGAAATATTTTTAAAATATTTTATTTATTAATAATAAAACAGATTTGGGAAAGTTTGATGCCATTTTTTAAAACCTAAAGTATGTAACATCTTTTGATTAGAGAGAAAATCTAATTGACATAAGGGAAGATAGAAATGTACTTGCCAATTTTCTACAAAATAACATACAATATTATTTTTAAAATATCGTCTCATATTCATTTAAATTAAGTTTTTGAGTATGCTTTATATGATACACAATTTAGTGTCTAGTGTGCCTACCCCATTTATAAACCAGTATATCTGTACTACCTATAAATATACATATATTTGGGGATGGTGCGATCAAACTTTTTGGTGATGGTGTGAGTAATCAAAAAGTGGTTTGAGACGACTCAGGCTTCTCAATTTCAAATTTACTAAAAAGCTACAGTATTAGGACATCATGATATTGGCATAAGGATAGACAGATAGATCAGTACAACAGAATTGAGAGTACAGAAATAAAGCCCCACATTTATAGTCAATTGATTTTTATCAAAAGTGCCAAGAAAATTCAGTGGGGTCAAAATAATTTTTCCAAGCGGTGCTAGGACAACTGGATATCCACATGTAAAAGGACGAAGTTGGTTTCCTACTTCACACCAAATACGAAAATTATACCAAAATAGATTAAAGAGCTAAATATAAGAGCTAAAACTACAAAACTCCTAGAAGAAAATATAGGTGTAAATATTCATGACATTGTATTAGGCAATGGTTTCAAAGATATGACACCAAAAACAAAAATAACAAAAGTAAATATAGATAAACTGTACATCAGTAAAGTGAAAAGCTCTTGTGCTTCAAAGGGCATTACCAAGAAAGTGAAAAGACAACACACAAAAAGGGAGAAAGCTTTTGCAAATCATATATCTGTCAAGAGACTTGTATCTAAAATACATAAAGAACTATGAAATCCCAATAAAAAGATAAATAATCAATTAAAAATGGGCAAAGGATCTGTATAAACAGCTCTCCAATAAAAGATATACAAATGGCCAATAAGCGCATGAAAAGATGCTCAACATCATTAGCTAGCAGGAAAATGCACATCAAAACCACAGTGTGATAGCACTTCACACCCTCTAGAATGGCTATAATCCAAAGACAGATAATAGCAAGTATTGGCAAGAATGTGGAGAAAGTGGAACCCTCATACACTGCTGGTAGGAATGTAAAATCACAAAGCTACTTTGAAAACAGTCTGGCAGATCCTCAAATGGTTAAACACAGATAAACTTACCATATGACCCAACAATTCCACTCCTACGTATATATCCGAGAGAGCTGAAAACACATGTCACTCAAAGGCTTGTACACAAATATTAAGAGGAGCATTATTCATAATAATCAAAAAGTAGAAACAACACAAATCAACTCATGACTGTATAAACATATCTCAATAAAGTTTAAAAGATGCGGGCTAAAGAAATGTTTGGTTAGTTTGTGGAGGGTATGAATAGCCCTCTAAGGGTTGGTGAGATCTCCTCAGACTAGAAAGACTGACCAGAATTACAAAAGGACTCATAGGCAGTACACATTTGTTTAGTTGAAGGGCTACTTAAAGGTAGATCTAGGACATCTATATTGATAGTTATTCTAAACAGAACTAAGGAGAGTTTAGCAGAAAAAAACACTGATTCAGATGGGGGGCTTGGGTTCTGATTTAAGACTTTCCAGTGAATAAACTGTGAAATTTGGGCAATTCATGGACCCTCCTTAGGTCTCAGTTGCCTCACTTCAAAAATGAGGAAGTTGGAATAAGTTGATCCCTAATGTCCAAACTCTAAAAAATATATAAATGTGAAAATAATCGTTTGTCTTAGGTTGAAGGAATTGATGTGAAACTACATCGAAGCAAAGAAACAAGGTATTTAAGAAGTGATGACACCGGTGAGTTCTAAGAAAATTTGGATTCTGGGCTCTGAGACTAAAATGCTCATCACAATCAGAAGTTGAACTATGATGGGCCATGCCAGAGAAAGCTCTACTAAGTCTCAGACTTCCCTGGTGGTGCAGTGGTTAAGAATATGCCTGCCAATGCAGGGGATTCGGGTTTGAGCCCTGGTCCAGGAAGATCCCACATGCCGCAGAGCAACTAAGCCCGTGCGCCATAACTACTGAGCCTGCGAGCCACAACTACTGAGCACGCGAGCCACAACTACTGAAGCCCACGCACCTAGAGCCCATGCTCCACAACAAAAGGGGCCACCGCAATGAGAAGCCCGCGCACCAGAACGAAGAGTAGCCCCCGCTCGCTGAAACTAGAGAAAGCCCACGCACAGCAATGAAGACCTAATGCAGCCAAAAATAAATAAATTTAAAAATAAATAAATAAAAATTTTAAAAAAAAAGCTCTACTAAGTCTCTTCCTCTTGACCTTGAAAGTGTTTATTTTGACGTCATCAGGTTCCTCACAGGATCAAGATAATTATGATGCATGTGTGGTTCTATTATTTTGTGATAATATTTCTGAATTGAAAATATTTAGTAATCTACGTACAGATGTAAAGAGGGTGAAAACTTAGAAAAAAACAAATCTTTGGTTTCATTCGATTAGTATAAATGAGAGTAAAATAAAAAAAAAGAGAGACTGTCAAAATTATGTTGAACAGAGGATATTTTAAAAGGATGAATGTAATAAAATGTATTGGAGGGCTTGTAATCATGAAAATGTTAATAACAGGAAAACCTAAATGGGATTCATATAATTGTTGTTAGGTCAGGAACAGATCAAGTGAATTAAAATACCAGAAGAGTTAGTTAAATTAGGGAAACTGGTACCTCACAGGAACTTAGGTCTGGTGCCTTTTTTAGAAGTTCTAGGAATTCATGATTTGGGATATAGAACCATAATATCTAAGTTTATGGAATTGAGCCCTATAGTGTCTAGTGACACTCTTAACAGTAATAAAAAGATAATTTCTTCCCACATATTTTCTGATGAAATAAATAATATTTCAATAAAAATATTATACTACAATAAAACTCACGATGTACAACAAATTGTAGCCTTTGTTAATGGCAGATAAGTAAAGTGACACTTCAATTCTTTTTTCTTCAAGCTCAGTAGGTATTAACAATTTTTCTATTTCTGTCTTATTTGAAGTCTTTTTTATCTTTTGCTCTTGTTAGGATATATAATTTGAAATCAAAGTTCTTCTAATGAACTGGACGCCAGTGTGCTATGTAAACAATAGATTTTTATTTGGAAGTAACGCATGCCCCAACTCCAGGGACTAGCAAGATAATTTAAACACACAAACAAAAGAGTGACTTATTTAACCTTATGTTTTAACAGCACTTAACAGAATTATTAGCTCATGTCAATTCGAAACCCGAAAGTATTGGTGAGTTCATGCTTCAGCAAAACATCTCTCATCTCTAGAAATGACTGCACTTGAGTTTCCTCTCTCACTGATGGAATCATTACTGTTGATTTAAGCCTAAATTAAATGATTATCAGCAAATTTTACTATTTTATTTAAAGACTAATAAGTATTTTGAGTGCTTATTACCTACTGAATACCATGCAAATTGCTATAGAAGAAAATTAGGTGGCTTCTTCTCTCAAGTGGTTTACAGTTAAGAGGAAAAGATTATATATAACATAATGAGAGAACAAGAAAGGGTCACGATAGGGCTTCCCTGGTGGCACAGTGGTTGAGAGTCCGCCTGCCGATGCCCTCTGAATTCTTACAATAACAATAATAACACTCACCTATTAAAAGGCCCCGCTCTGCAGCTACAAATAGCACTCGATGGAAATGGCTTCTAACCCTAATATGCTGGAGAACTGTATTATTCTTGCTTCTCAGATGACGAAATTAAGGCTCAGAGATTTAAAGATCTTGTCAAGTGCAAATGAGGTCAGAAGGATGAGAGAGGAATGAGGGTGAGAGAGTTGGAGACAGCTTCATGAAGGACCTGAACTTGAGGAGAACTTTGGAGGGTCGTGGAGGAGATGGAATGTAGGCAGCCAGGTGGGGAGGATGTGCAGAGGAGGACAGACAGTGAGGGAGCACTCAGGATGCATGGAGTGTGGCAGCAGGACCAACACCCAGGGCACGTCTCTGCAGGATGTGCTGTCGGGGAGGAAAAGCTACCAGGTCTAGAGCCTGAGCCTGGAATACCGAGATATGGGTAAAGAGAGCCACTGAAGGCTCTTGTGGAGAGAGTAACATGATGCAAATGTATTTTAGAGATTAGTTTAGGGAACGAGTAGAGGGCACTGGAATTGGACAAAGCTGGAACAATAGAAGGTTAGAAACTACTACAGAAATTTCAGCATAAAATCTGGATATAGGTAGTAGAAGTTGAGAGAAAAGAACAATCTATTATCATATTATGTGAAGTAAGTCAGACAAAGACCAATATCACATGATATCACTTACATGTGGAATCTAAAAAAAATGATACAAATGAACTTTTTGACAAAACAGAAATAGACCTACAGACATAGAAAACAAGCTTATGGTTACCAAAGGGGAAAGGTAGGGGGCAGGGAAGAGATAAATTAGGAGTTTGGGATTAACAGATAGACACTACTGTGTATAAAATAATCAATAAGGACCTACTGTAGAGCACAAGGAACTATACTCAATATCTTGTAATGACCTATAATGCAAAAGAATCTGAAAAAGAATATATATATATATATAAATGAATCACTTTGCAGTAAACCTAAAACTAAGAAAACACTGTAAATTAACTATACTTCAATTGAAAAAATGACTGTAAAAAAATACCTCAAGGCAGAAAGATAGAATAGACAGTAATATCAACGTTTATATAAATAAGGCCTCTAGAATACTAATGATCATATTAGTAAGTACTTAGAAGTACTTTGGCACATAGAAGTACAGGCCACAGTTTCTGGAACCAGACATCTGGGTTTACCATTCACTCTTCTGACTCAGTTTCTTCATATGAAAAACAGAAATATAATAAAAATAATTAAGTCAAAAAAAAGGACAATCTAATATTTTGGAAGTAGCAACAACAGGAGTTAGGACCAAATTAAATACAAAAATGCAGGGGAGGAAGGGACCAGAAAAGACCTGCTGACAGTGCTGAAACTTTCTTGAGTCTCTCCTGGGAGACAAGGAAGAGTTGGAAGAAATAGAGATAGGGCTTCCATGCTCAGCCTAGACTGAGTGACTCATATCAACCTATACCTCTCACAAAAAAAACTGTAGTAAAACAACTACCTGAGAGCAACCAACACAGGCAGGACTTGAGGGGCTACAAAAAAGAAAAGAGAAGATGTGGTCGAGCTTCCCATTTACTCTGGCTGTTTCCATGTTTTTATTTTATAGCAATATGCCTGGTGTTGCATAGGTCATCAACACTCAAAAATACTTTGTCAGCTCTTTAAATGAAAAAATAGTGTTGTGATAAACATTTAACACATGTTACAATCAATAAAGATCATAATCAGCTGCTTGAAGAGAAAAAGGTGAAATCTAGTTTTCCCAGGAATAAGTAAGTGGCTCCCCAGGTTGTTTGCCACTTACTCTGATGCCTGGCAAATGAATTTTAAACCAAATATACGATAAACTACCGCTGTATTTTATGTGCTACACGGACTCACTATTGTACATGAGAGTCCCCTGTATAATCAGTGTAAAAGCACATTTATACCTATGCTGTGGGATTCCAGGTGTCATTTTACCATTTTAAATTATTTTAGAGGCTTAATGCAATTGTATATTTGCTTTTTTTGATGAGCTGCTGGTGACGTGCACTGTCTATTTATTAAATTCTTGGTTACTGAGGTCATATCCAATTACAGCATTGTTCCTATGGAAAAGCATGATCTATTACATGACCACCGACCTAATGAGGTAATTTCTCAGCACTGTGCTGAACAGCAAGGGCAGCCTCTATTTGGGGCTGAATTTTTATCTGAACTATGAAAAATGTTTCAGAATGCTGTTTGAATAAGCATTTCTTATAAATAATCGAATACCCGGAACAACAGTTCTTCAGTCCAACATGATGATAAAACTTGAATGAAGAACTACTTAGAGCCATACAGAATAATTATATGTAGAAAAGTAATTATATGACTCATAAAAATTAAAATAAGCTTCTGGGTCTTTATTCCCTTTATCCCTTTTAATCAGTGCTTCAGTATACAGCAGCACAGATATACATGTGTGTTATTCAACCCAGTAAGTAATTCTTCCTTCCATTTTCAGTGTAAAGATCTCAATTAGAAAGAAACATGAGCTGCTTTTTAAAAAGACTGTATGTTTCCCATAAACATATCACTTGAAAGTACTCACGATCTTCATCTGTCTGTACTACGAGTTCTTGGCTCTCCTTCCGTCCCTCGGGATTCATGAGGATGAGTTTCACACTGACGTTGGTGTAGGGGGAGAGGTTGGTGATGGTGTGTTGAGGGTGTGAGTTATCCGTGTCCCAGCTTACTTCTTCTCTCACTTGTTCCTGCCCTCCGACCTTGTAACAGTAGTGGACTGTGAGGTTGTAACTATGGCAACGAGTCACGTTATATCCAAATGGCTCCCAGCGGAGAGTGATTTGTCGAGATTTGACTTCGACGACTTCCAATTTTCTTGGGCCGCGCATGGGATCTAAGATGCAAAAGAAGGAAAAAGAAAACATAAGAGAAAAGAATAATAAAAGTTCCAGTGAAGCCCAGGTATCACAGATAATCCTGCTTATCCCCAGTATCTTGTCTTCTCTTCTTCCATATGAATAAAACACCTAAATCTTAGATGGGCATGAGGCCACCCAGAATAAGGACTACAATTTCCAGTCTCTTCTGCAGTGAGGTCTGTCCTTCTACCCAAGTTCTGGTGGATAGCATACAATGTGAGACGTCAAGAATGGTTTCTGGGCGATGTCTTTGAAAGGAAGGGGCTCACCATCCTTGTTCCTCCTTCCTTCCTATTAGCTTGATTGAGGATAGGGTGTCTCACGCTCATGCAGCCATGATGGACCATAATGCGCTTAAACATTAAGAATTCAAAGCAATGATGATGAAGAACCCAGGGTTCCTGATAATCACTGCACTACCATACCATCCCTGAAGGGTCTACTTCCAAAATTTTCATTAGAGAGAAATACAGTGCTTTTATTTAAGGCTCCTTCCTCTGGGGCTCTGATACACAAAAGCAGTCTTAATGCTAATTCATGTATATATTTTTTATCTTTTAAAGTTAATTCATCATTATGTAATTGGAAAACACAGTAAAAGCTTGAGAATTCAGCATGAAATAATACAATGATTAAAGAGCATAAACTTCTGAACAGAACTCCAGGCCTTTTTGGGTTGCGATGTGTAGAGAATTCCACACGGTCAATGCTGAAATAGTTGTTTACTCTACCCCTGATCAGGTCTTGGTGTTGTTTCTTAGTCCAAGCTCCAGGGACAGAGTTTCGAGCTTAGAAATCTAAACGAAAAGCAGGGAATATAAGCATTCTGGTGGGCTTAAAAGGAAGAATATATACAGAGAAGGCTTTCTTTTTATACATATCTCTTCTTTTATTGAAGTATAGTTGATTAACAATGTTGTGTTAATTTATGCTGTACAAAGTGATTCAGTTATACATATATATGTATATATGTACACATTCTTTTTTAATATTCTTTTCAGTATGGTTTATCATAGAATATTAAATATAGTTCCCTATGCTATACAGTAGGACCTTGTTGTTTATGAGAAAGCTTAACCTTGTTTATGAAATGATGATGAAAATACAGTAATACTAACTACATAACATTTACTGAGCCCTTATTATGTACCTTACACTCTTCTAAGAATTTACCTTTCACGGGTTTGGGGAAAACCTAATCTAAAATACTTTGCTTTAGTATATCCATACATACAATTGATCCATATATTTTGATTTTTGTTTTCCTGAATGTGGTCACCATTTATGAATATAAAGACATCTATAATTGGAAAGTGAAAATAAGCATGAAAACTTGAGAAATAATAGCTACCATGGGTAGAAGGACGTGCTCCCACTCCCTCTTGTGTGAACACCAGAATCACAACTAACTGCTGAACAATCATTGACAGGAAGACACTGAAACTCACCAAATAAGATACCCCACATCCAAAGAAAAATGAGAAGCCACAGTGAGGCAGTACGAGGGGCGCAATCACAATAAAATCAAATCCCATAACTGCTGGGTGGGTGACTCACAAACTGGAGAACACTTATACCACTGAAGTCCACCCACTGGAGGGAAGGTTCTGAGCCCCACGTCAGGCTTCTGAACCTGGGGGTCCGGCAATGGGAGGAGGAATTCCTACAGAATCAGACTTTGAAGGCTAGCGGGATTTGACTGCGGAGGGCAAATAAAAAGAAGTGTGTGCATCGGGACCCAGGGGAAGGAGCAGTGACCCCACAGGAGACTGAACCACACGTACCTGCTAGTGTTGGAGGGTCTCCTGCAGAGGCAGGGGGTGGTTGTGGCTCACAATGGGGACAAGGACACTGGGAGCATAAGTTCTGGGAAGTACTCCTTGGCAAAAGCCCTCTGGGAGTCTGCCATTAGCCCCACCAAAGAGCCTGGGTGGGCTCCAGAGTTGGGTCACCTCAGGCCAAACAACCAACAGAGAGGGAACCCAGCACCACCCATCAGCAGACAAGCGGATTAAAGTTTTACTGAGCTCTTCCCACCAGAGTAACACCCAGCTCTACCCACCACCAGCCCCTCCCATCAGGAAACTTGCAAAAACCTCTTAGATAGCCTCATCCACCAGAGGGCAGACAGCAGAAGCAAGAAGAACTACAATCCTGCAGCCTGTGGAACAAAAATCACATTCACAGAAAGATAGACAAGATGAAAAGGCAGAGGGCTATGTACCAGATGAAGGAACAAGATAAAACCCCAGAAAAACAACTAAAGGAAGTGGAGATAGGCAACCTTCCAGAAAAAGAATTCAGAATAATGATAGTGAAGATGATCCAGGACCTCGGAAAAAGAATGGAGGCAAAGATCAAGAAGATGCAAGAAATGTTTAACAAAGACCTAGAAGAATTAAACAACAAACAAACAGAGATGAACAATACAATAACTGAAATGAAAACTACACTAGAAGGAATCAATAGCAGAATAACTGAGGCAGAAGAACAGATAAGTGACCTGGAAAACAGAATGGTGGAATTCACTGCTGCAGAACAGGGTAAAGAAAAAAGAATGAAAAGAAATGATGACAACCTAAAAGACCTCTGGCACAACATTAAACGCAACAACATTCGCATTATAGGGGCCCCAGAAGGAGAAGAGAGAGAGAAAGGACCTGAGAAAATATTTGAAGACATTACAGTCAAAAACTTCCCTAACATGGGAAAGGAAATAGCCACCCAAGTCCAGGAAGCGCAGAGAGTCCCAGGCAGGATAAACCCAAGGAGAAACAGGCCAAGACACAGAGTTATGAAATTGGCAAAAAGAAAAGAAAAAGAAAAAGTATTAAAAGCAGCAACGGAAAAATGACAAATAACATACAAGGGAACTCCCATAAGGTTAACAGCTGATTTCTCAGCAGAAACTCTACAAGCCAGAAGGGAGTGGCATGACATACTTAAAGTGATGAAAGGGAAGAAACTACAAACAAGATTACTCTACCCAGCAAGGATCTCATTCAGATTTGATGGAGAAATCAAAAGCTTTACAGACAAGCAAAAGCTAAGAGAATTCAGCATCACCAAACCAGCTCTACAACAAATGCTAAAGGAACATCTCTAAGTGGGAAACACAAGAGAAGAAAAGGACCTAAAAATCAAACTCAAAACAATTAAGAAAACGGTAATAGGAACATACATATTGATAATTACCCTAAACGTGAATGGATTAAATGCTCCAACCAAAAGACATAGGCTTGCTGAATGGATACAAAACCAAGACCCATATATATGCTGTCTACAAGAGACCCACTTCAGACCTAGGGACACATACAGACTGAAAGTGAGGGGATGGAAAAAGATATTCCATGCAAATGGAAATCAAAAGAAAGCTGGAGTAGCTATACTCATATCAGATAAAATAGACTTTAAAGTAAAGAATGTTACAAGAGACAAGAAAGGACACTACATAATGATCAGGGGATCGATCCAAGAAGAAGATATAACAATTATAAATATATATGCACCCAACATAGGAGCACCTCAATACATAAGGCAACTGCTAACAGTTATAAAATAGGAAATCGACAGTAACACAATAATAGTGGTGGACTTTAACACCTCACTTACACCAATGGACAGATCATCCAAGATGAAAACAAATAAGGAAACAGAGCTTTAAATGACACGTTTAAAGGACATTCCATCCCAAAACAGCAGATTACACTTTCTTCTCAAGTGCGCATGGAACATTCTCCAGGGTAGATCACATCTTGGGTCACAAATCAAGCCTTGTTAAATTTAAGAAAATTGAAATCATATCAAGCATCTTTTCTGACCACAACACTATGAGATTAGAAATGAATTGCAGGGAAGAAAAAGTAAAAAACACAAACACATGGAGGCTAAACAATACGTTACTAAATAACCAAGGAAACACTGAAGAAATCAAAGAGGAAATAAAAAAAAAAACTAGAGACAAATGACAATGAAAACACAATGATCCAAAACCTATGGGATGCAGCAAAAGCAGTTCTAAGAGGGAAGTTTATAGCTATACAAGCCTACCTCAAGAAACAAAATCTCAAATAAAAAATCTAACCTTACACCTAAAGGAACTACAGGAAGAAGAACAAACAAAACCCAAAGTTAGCAGAAGAAAAGAAAACATAAAGATCAGAGCAGAAATATATGAAATAGAAAAAAAGAATACAGTAACAAAGATCAATAAAACTATCTTTGAGAAGATAAACAAAACTGATAAACCATTAGCCAGACTGATCAAGAAAAAGAGGGAGAGGACTCAAATCAATAAAATTAGATATGAAAACAGAAGTTACAACAGACACCGCAGAAATACAAAGCATCCTAAGAGACTACTACAAGCAACTCTATGCCAATAAAATGGACAATTGGAAGAAAAGGACAAATTTTTAGAAAGGTATAACCTTCCAAGACTGAACCAGGAAGAAATAGAAAATATGAACAGACCAATCACAAGCAATGAAATTGAAACTGTGATTTAAAAATCTTCCAACAGGGCTTCCCTGGTGGCGCAGTGGTTGAGAGTCCACCTGCCGATGCAGGGGACATGGGTTTGTGGCCCGGTCCGGGAGGATCCCACATGCCGCCAAGTGGCTGGGCATGTGAGCCATGGCCGCTGGGCCTGCGCATCTGGAGCCTGTGCTACGCAACGGGAGAGGCCGCAATAATGAGAGGCCTGCCTACCGCCAAAAAAAAAAAAAATCTTCCAACAAACAAAAATCCAGGACAAGATGGCCTCACAGGTGAATTCTATCAAACATTTAGAGAAGAGCTAACACCCACCCTTCTCAAACTCTTCCAAAAAACTGCAGAGGAAGGAACACTCCCAAACTCATTCTACGAGGCCACCATCACCCTGATACCAAAACCAGGCAAAGATGCTACAGAAAAAGAAAATTACAGACCAATATCACTGATGAATATAGATGCAAAAGAACTCAACAAAATA